TTCAAAAAGGCTCAGTCGCTGCCTTAGAGGTACTGTTTCTCTGACAAGCTGGCTAATGAAACAGGGGCCAGGCACTGGCCAGGGTTCAGGGCTCAGCCGCAGGCTTGCTGGGTGGTCCCGGGCAGGTAACTTCACCATGATGTGACGCGTGAGTTGTGAGCACCAGCTCTTTGAGGTAGGAACAGGGTCTTACTGTTTGTCTGCAGAGTGCTAAGTATTGAGAAACCTTGGTCCCTGCACAGCCTCTGTGTGCTACTGTAATGTAAATAATAATGTGGAGATAAAGATGAGGTCAAGGAACATCTCTTAAACTTGATAATTTTCCCTGATGGGAAGATTTATGTTGCTGTTTCTGGCTGGGCTGGAATTCCGCCAGTTTTTGATCAGTGTCCAAGTAACCGTGCAGAAATACTATACCAAGGGAAAAAAAGAGTTGTTGGGTTCACATACTAACATAAAGCTTGCTACCTTCTAATTTTGCAATCAAAACAAATACCATCCTGTACTGTGCGAACAGCAGCAAGGGAGTGAGCCATCCGTTAAATGTTCGGCACTGCCAAAGGAAGTGGCAGAACCGTTAGCTGAAGCAGCAGGCTTACTGGCACAGTGCACATTTCATGGGGCTTTATAGCTTCTTTTAAAATAGTCTCCACCACTGCAGACAGTCTGTGGGCTGCATCAGCTGAGTAAAATGTTATCCTGCTAGTACAGGGAATTATTAACATGTTTTCTCCATGCCAGCTGTCTCTTCACTGACTGACCCATGCAAGCAACTCAAAGAAAAGTTAAAAAAAATTCCAACCTAGCTGGGTTTTTTTGGTGACTGGTTTGGCTGAAGGATGTGCCAAACCTCATAACTTTGCTGGATGCCACACTGAGGTTGCAACTTAGCACAAAAGGACAGACTTAAGCTCCAGAGAAACAAGATTTATTTGAGAGTTTGGGTTTGGGTTTTGTTTTTAATTATCATCTCAGACTGGGATGAGTAAGAAGGAAGAGAAATGCACAATGTGGGAATCAGTGTCCGCGCTTCACGTAAGACAGCAAAAGGGTGCACTTTAAATTTGTAATATCAAAACTGTACATGCGCAGCCAGAAAAATCAAGAGCAGCTTCTGCTACTTGAACATTGCAGGTCTGAGGAACAGGATAAATAGTAATTTAAAAATTTAAATTTAAGAAGTTACTACTGAAGTCCTGGTAAGTCCAGCCTGAGGCCCTCACTGGAAGGTGCACGTGATGCCTGTGCCAAGGCTGGTTTTTGGCAGTCTTCGTTCCAGGCTTGTACAGTACCTTGTGCAGCGATGTCCTGGTTCACAACTGGGCTCCCTAATAGTTTAAATAATTATTGATACTAATGCGATTTCAGTAGATGCTGAAGTGCTTAGACTAGAGCTGTGTATTTTGATTCTGCTTGTAGCTATGGGACACTTTGTGTAAGTTTGCTTGGTTTTTGTGTGTGAGTCTGCTTCAGTGTTGTGTTGGGTGATTTGTGTGATAAGCTGAGACGTCAGATGGCCATGCCTCCTCTCACTTTCCTCATTTAATAAATGAGGTCTCACCACTAGCAGATTTCTCAGGCAGGGCCATGGCCTCTCTGAAATCAATGTCACACACATTGGGACATTTCCAAAGCATTCGTACCCACAGCTTCCAGATTCCTCATAATCCTGCTTTTTACATTCTTAAAAAGAACATTATTTTGAAATTTCAGAAGTAAAGGAATGGATATAGAAACAAATTTTTAGTCTTAAAAATTAATGAATGATTTGATATCAAAGCAGCTTCCCCAGCAAATGATGAGGAAGCTGATGGACCAAGGGCTAAAAGGGTGCAGTGAGGCACATGCACATTAAAGCTATATTTATGCCAGGAACAGATACTTCCAGTGCTGCTGAGATAGCTCAGGTAGCTATTCCTGTCTTTCAGCTGCAGGATCCAGCATTTAAATGACAGTGCTGCTAACAGGTTTGGGGTTTGTAGCCACTTTTGGTTGTAATAACCAATGAGTTGGAGCATGCAAGTTAAAGAGAATCAGCTGTCAAGAGTACTAGCTGAGTTCGCTGTCATGATTCTGCCCCTCCTGCTTTTGGTAATGTTCTTAATTAAAATCCCTTCTGAGTTGTGTCACTGATGACTGTTACATGCTTCTCTTATGTGGACTGTACAAGCCTTGTTCAAGCTTGATGACCAAAATCTGCCTGTGAAGAGGCAGTGCATGTCCCAGAGAGTTTGCAGGCTGGCTGGGTGGAGCAAGTGAAGACAGAAAGGAACTATCATTATCTCCATGGCACAGATGAGGAGCTGTGGTGTGAAGATACTGAACGCCTTGGGTAAGGTCAGAGAGGGAGTCTTGGAGCGGCAGGAGCTAGGTCTGTGTTTTTTGAATTATAGTTCTGGGATTTAATGAAAATTAATCTTAAAAAAGAAAATCCTTATTAAATGAAGTTTGAGAGGGAGGAGGACATCAGGAAGTTCAAATGAAAAGAGAATCGTTGTATTTAACCTTAGGATATTTAAAGGGAAGACTTAAGTTACACTGCATAGTTTCAAACTTAGGACTGAAATGCTCTATAGCAGTAGGAATTGCTCTCTGTGGGTGTTTTATTTCCCATCAATCCTTGCATTAGATTCAGTTTCTTAATCAAGAAGACAGCAAACAAAATGCTTCAAGCATTGCATACACTTGGATGATGGATGTTGCTTAAAGGCCTTGGGGTCTGAAATTCATGCAGAGGGCTGCCCAGAAGGAGACTGAATGAAACTTCCCAATTATCTTTTTTTGTCTTCTTTTTAATTCTTTGTCTATTTACCCCCCTTGATTTTGCAATATTTCTGCTGCTGCTTTGAGTTGATGAAAAATCAGGAGAAAATGATTCCTCAGTTTCTTCCAAATCTGAATTCCCAAGTAACATCCTAGTTTCAAAATTCCTTGCCCAGAGGATGCCAGCATTCCTCTTGGCTGCTTGGTGATCACCCTGCCTGCCAAACGGCAGCACGACCAGCATGATCAAATGAGAGGGCTGGGGAACAGAGACTAGTCCTTTTTGAACTACTAAGCTGGGCTCTTGAGTTATCAAGGAATGAGGACCAGAGGCCCGATTCTGGATCTCTACTTGTGCCATATACATATGCATGGCACAAGAAAGCCCTGCTGCCATCTCTGTGTTTTCTACATCCTTGAATATAATGAGTCTTGTGAATGGATGGTGGCATTCATAACTGGTCTTGTCTGTTCCCTGCACACATAAGCACGTGCATTCGCACAGGGATTTGTTTTAGGTTTTTAACAATTTAATTTCCCATAGAAGCACTATAAAAAAATAATACAACTTTAAAAAAAAAACAAACCAAAACAAAACCCCTGAAAAAACAAAAAAAACACAGCAAAAAACCAAGGTCTGGTTTCTGGAGCCAGGGACACCTATAAGCCAAGCCAAACTGGTCCACTGCAAGGTGCACCCAGCGGGCTGCAGCACCTGGAGCACTTGTGTGTCCCTGATGGCTGTGGCACTCGGAATATCGGCCGCTCTTCGGTGTGGTTCCCTGTGCCACAACGTCACCAGGGTGCCGGAGTGTTCTCCTAGTTATGGAGCTGTTGGGGCAGCAGCTGGCCTCTGGTGTAGAAATGCCTCCGCTACCTGGGCAAGCCAGAGAAGACAGATATTTAAACATGCCTCTCTGCTGCAGATATGTTTGTTTGTACACATCTATTTTTGTAAAATTTCCCCAAATTAGGTATGTGTTTACTTTTTGCCATTATCTATTCAGCAACTCAAAGGGTAAGTTGATGTTCTGTATTGAGGCCAGATATTCAGTAGAGATGATTAGGGATGTATCAAAGAAGAGGTTTTGGTTTTTTTTTTTCCTAGGATGTCTTACTGCTCGTTCCTTCTTCCTATGTTACTGCAGCTTCTGTCTCTGCTCATGTTTCTCTGTGCAACCAAGAAGCATATGTCAGTGAGAGTACTTATGTGGCTTTCTGAACATATTTGAAATAATTTGCCTCTAGAAAGTGATTGTGGTCTGTTTGCCATGAGAAGAGTAGGTGCAGTCCTGATGTGAATTGAAATGTCAAATGTTTATGGAAGATGACATAGAAAAGCTGTTTACCATATGGTATACAAAACATAATGATACTAGACTTTTTTTTTTTTTTATCCCCTGCAGTTTGCTGGGGAAAAAGTAGAATATACAATAATGCAATTTGTGTATTCTTCTGTATTTCATATGTGCCTTTGAGAGACCATGACAGTGCTCTCTTAGCCAGGTCATGGGATATAAGTCTAATATTAATTATTATTTATATTGAGCCTGTATCTTGAGACTTCTGTATGAAACTGAGGATACGTGTACTAAGGGACATAGTAAGACATTTATGAGATTCAAAGTGCAGATCACTTCAAGTTAGGGTGTTCCTGGTGACACCTTTCATTCACAGCTGTTCACAGCACCTCCCTCTGCCCCTTCTTTCATTTCTCTGGATCAAGGTCCTCTGACAGCTGTCGTCCACTCTTGATTGTGAGATTTTAGACTAACCATTGCACCAGTGTAGGGACTTGCAAACTGACTCAGTGCCAGCCAGCGCGCATCTAGAGACAATGCAGTTAAGTTTACATGGAGCTGTAGGCTATGGGTTTACTAGCTTGGATTAGCGCATTCATGGGAGTCTCTGCATTACATCCTAACTGTATTCCCAGCTATATTCTTATGCTACCCCATGTATTTTCTTTGCACGAAAATGCGCTCCGAGCCAGATAAAGTAAGAAGTAGTCCTGTGAAGCTTACTGGCTCTCTGCAGGCTTTGAATGTGGGAATTGCTGTTCCCCCATCTCTTGAGTCTCGAACTGTTCCCATCATCAAGATAAAGTGCTACAGGGAATGAAGCAGAAGGGGTAAAAGCCTGAGTTCAAACACTGTCAACAGCAGAAGAGCCTTAACATGCCTACTTCAAGTAAGTATCCGTATTTACACGTTACCCTCTTCCTCTCCTTTGATGTAGGTTGTATGGTTGGACCCTGGAAATGGGATGTCAGTCCCGTTCAGGGAGCATAAAGGAAGAAAGAAAATCTCCCAGTTGCTGCTGCTGTGACAGCGAGTGAGAGCAAGAGCAGGAAAATGTCGGCAGTCACATCAGCAATCCAGGCTCCTCAGGGCCCTGTGAATCCGCCGCCTCCGGAGGTCACTAATCCTAATAAGCCTGGCCGGAAGACCAACCAATTGCAATATATGCAAAATGTTGTGGTAAAGACCTTGTGGAAGCATCAGTTTGCTTGGCCATTCTACCAACCTGTTGATGCAATTAAATTGAATTTGCCGGTACGTATCTATCATCTTCTGCTCAGTATTCTTAGAAAGCTTTGTGTTGGTGAGATCAGCTTTCTGATCACTGGATCAGAATAGTTAGGTTGCTTTTGGGGATTTCCTTGAATGCTCTTAGACTCGCTGAATTAGAAGATGATGCCTTTCATAGCTGGAGAGGTGCGGGGCTCTGACAGAGAAAACTTCTTCTCACTTAGTGAGGGAAGAGAAGAGCGCACAGTCAAGCTGTCTTAGAGCAGTTGAAGCGTAGTGCTTCGTTTGTAGCTTACTCCTGTTTAATTTTATGTGTCTTTACCCTTTGTCCCACCTCTGTCCAGTCTGAATGAGTCTTCAAGCCCACGGTCTTTTGAGCATTTGGCATTGGGCTCAATGAAACTTGTGTTTTCAATTGGTTTTCCTGGATTTGCCACTGACTTCAGTGTAGAGGAAGACAGGAGAAGCTAATTACCAAGGATACTTTGAAGCTAGATATTTTCAAATGCTGTACTGGAAGTAGAAAGAACAGAATAGTTACATTTACCCATCTGCCTCCTGTGCCTGAGTATATATACCCCTGTCTCTGTCAGACCAGATAGTACAATAGATAGCCCAGTTATTCATAAATGACCAAAGTTTACTAAGCTGCTTTCTTCCAGGGAGTAGAGCCACACACTTCACCTCTTCAAAGGGGTCCTGAAAGTGTAAAAACTCAGGAGTGGAGGCATACCTCTACCCACTTGCTTCACTTAAATAGACATCGCCTCCCCGCCCCCCCATCCATCCTGCTGTCTGCTCAGCTGGGCAGCCCATTGCAAATTGTCTCTGCTTGGAGCAAGAGGGTTGCATGTAGGATTCAAGGGAGCATGGTTCTGGGACGTAAGGTCAGGAGAGCTCCAGTTACCGCAGGTTATAACCCAGTTTTATGGACTGGATCAGGAGTCTTTAGAACTCTGTAATGTTGTTGATGGGTACTATTTAAAGTGCTAGCCAAAAGAGTAAAACACTTAATACCTGTATAATATTTCTCTAGGTCTGTGCTCCTTTGTGTCATCTTTTTGTGGATTTACTTTCTCTGAGGCATTTTGAGGTGGTTTTAGGGCAGGTTACCAGAAAATTTAAAGGAGTCGTCAGTTGGAAGAATAGTCGTTTCTCACGCGTGGCCTAAATCTGCACAAGCCCAATAGCCAGCAGGATTGCATTTTCTGTCCTAACGTGCCTTGCAGGGAAATATTGGTGCCTCAGATGGTGCTTGAGGGTTGGGCTCAGGGAGTGACTGGTGGCTTCATGTGCAGTGAGAGGGCTTGCTGCTCTTCTCCAGAATGAGAAAATTACAGTGTATAACCTTGCGTGCCTAGAGCGTCTCCAGGCTAATCACAGCCTCTACAAATGCTTGAGACCAGCCCAGAGAGAAACTGGGTTAACATATGGAAGCCTTTTAAGGGCTGAAATGCCCTTGAAAGAGAGACACAAACTTCTAGCACAGTCTTAGCCAGTGCTGGCACTGATAAACTTCTGTAAGTGCCAGAGGCAGTCTTTTAAAAAGGGAGACAAAAATGCTGTTTCCCAAATTGCAGCCAGTTCACCATTAAACTGAACACCCTACCAAAGCTAGTGCTGACCCTGCTGCCCCAAATTCTGGTCCCGCATGAGCACGAAGCACATCGCTGCAGTGTTAGTCTAGCTGTCAAGCGTGGTACCCTTCCACTCCGCGGGACAATCTAAAATGGCACTTACAGCCTTGTAACGGACATCAAGGCTGCAAACAGCTTCCAGGGAGAGCTGCTCAGAAAGCATGTTTTCCTCCACGTGCTACTCTTAGTGCCTTCCCAGTCCAGCTGTCGTTATAAAAAGCAGGTAATGTTCAAGTAGCCATTTGTGTGCGCATTTGATCATGTATTGAGGGAGCTGCAAAAAACTGGTGGTTGTGGAAGGAGTTCTTATGCTTTATAGTCAAGTTCATAATAATAATAGACTAAAAGGCTACAAATTAGAAAATAAATGAAAGTGAAGGTGGTATTTACAATTTCCACAAAAATTTGGGGACGTGTTTTTTGGGAGGGGGAATGAGGAGAAAGCTGGAACTAGAGGGAGATGTGAACAACACTCCGCGTAGCAGGAGATGTAACATCTTTCCTGTTTCTCCAACAGGATTATCACAAAATAATAAAAAACCCCATGGACATGGGGACGATCAAGAAGCGCCTGGAACATAACTATTACTGGAGTGCCAGTGAATGTATGCAGGATTTCAACACCATGTTTACAAATTGTTACATTTACAACAAGGTAAAGAGCCCAGACAAGTGTTAGCTGGGGCACTGCCTAGAAAAGACCCACCTACAGCTGTTACAGTGCAGGTTTTGAACAGGGCCAGCTCCGCTGCGCTCTGAGCCCCTCTTGCAAGGATTTGAAATGCCACTAATTGCAACCACATTACTTGAAATGCACAAAGCTGTCTTTGTGCTGTGTCTTTCTTCCCCCAGACTAGTTAAAATGGCAAATGTGGCTTTTAATTATGGGTAGATTTCTGTTCTGGGGTTGTGTAGCAAGTTTTTACTCCTTGTCTTCTCAGTTAGGAATTCTTCAAGATGAGCTACAGTTTATGCAGTGCTTTGCAGGTGTTCTGTGGGATATTAGTGCTATGTGTTGTGCTGGCTGTCTAGCAGTGAATAGTATCTCTTAGCAGCAGAGAGCAGTTCAGGGGGTGTAACTTTGTTCTCTGCCAACGTCTCGTCCATACTTGCACACCTTTAGATTGCTTATTATTATTTTGGGTTTGGCTTGTTTGCTGTTTTGTTAGGTTGTTAAAAGCCTCTATTCTTTGTATTCTGTTTGTCATCATTGACCCATAGTGGAGAACAAGCTGAAATAAACAAATTAATTAGTTCGAGCCACAGAGTATGTTTTTACACTCTTCTCTTGGACCTGCCGGCAAGCAGGGGAGGACAGCTCATCTGTTCCAGTTTGCTGCTTCCATGCTGTTGCACAGGATGCTAGTTATCAGGCTCCTACTAGAAGTCCTGATAACTGTCTGGATGCAGCATACTTAGAGGCTGTAATTATTGCATGCTAGACCAGAATAGAAGAGCAGGAGGGGTAGCATGCAAGGAGGGCGAAGAGGTAGTCTGTTTATTGTCGGAGCTTGGATACCATTATTTATTTGAAGGGCAGTGTCATTGGGGATTTCAAAGCCTTATCTTGAATCTCTCATCTTCTCATAAGTGAATGATACAGCATGGGCTTGTATTCTTCTTTCTGCAGCCCACAGATGACATCGTCCTCATGGCCCAAGCCCTGGAGAAGATATTTCTGCAGAAGGTTGCCCAGATGCCTCAGGAGGAAGTTGAATTATTACCCCCGGTTCCTAAAGGCAAAGGCCGCAAGCCGTCAGTGGGCACGCAGAGTGCAGGTATTAACCCGATCCAGTGACATTAAATGTTAGGACCCTGTTGCTGAGGCCCGACCCACCTTCCAAGCTGCCTGGCTTTGCAAATGGTGAAGAGGCTAGGAAGGGAGCACATAGTCTAATGGTTAAAGCAGTGGAGACGAAAGTGTGAGATGTCTAGATAATGTTTACCCAGTGTTTCAGGGCTTGTCTGTCTTAAGGCCACTTTTCATTTGTCATACAAACATCTTACCTTCTGTGACTTGCCCACCCACGCAGCATTTCAGTGGGGGAGGACAATGCTGTTGCTTCCTGTACGCAAAGAGGAAACCAAGGCAAGAAGAGGCAAGGGAGTTAGACATGCCAGTCTGCTGCAAGTGACAGAACATGGCGCAGAATGCCTTTATAGACCTGGGTTTTTACAGTTCACCCAAGGTCCTGGCAGAAGTCTGACACAGCAGAGACCTGGACTCAAATCTTGCCAATCCCCTAAACCCCGTATAACACTTTTCTTTTGCACACAGGGTTGCAACATTATAGAATAAAGCTTGATCAACAGAAAGGATTTATTAAGCCATTGCAAAAGGCTGTGTAGACTCTTATATGTCTGTAGAAACTAAGTTTAGTTCAGCTTACCTAGAGTTGATATTAAATGGATTTAGGACTAAAACATCTGTAAGCACAGTAAAACAGTTCATAAAAGAGCTTGTGTAGGCTGAATTAAACTGTTGCAGGTTTTTTTCTGTAAACAAGATCTAATTGTTGTTCTGGGAAAGTCAACTGTTCCTCTTTGTTTTCCCACATCTCAGGTGCCAAATGGAGCTACAGCTTCATCCAAGCTCATAGAAGTTTGTGATGATGTGTCTTTTCAGCATCCTTTGATAAAAGCCGTTATAACAACATAGAGTATTGCTAATTGGCTTATTATTTACTGGATTTGTCCCCCTTAATTTTACACTAGTAGGCAGTTCTGTAACAGCGCAGGTCTAGCATCAGGAGACTTAGGCTCTACTTCCAGCTCTGTTTCTTTTCGTTGTATAACTTGCGGCAAATCTGAAGTGCTTTGGACTCTTGGGTGTTTAGCTGGCAATAGGGGAATGGTTGTTGCCGCGTGTCATGCATGGTGAAAACGCTCCCAGATTGAGGTCTGTGCAGGACAGCAGCTGTGCAAAAGAGCCATCTTCCTTTGTTCCCTCTCCTTGAGGTCCTGCTCTTTTGGTGAGCACAGGGTAGCTCTGAGAGCACGAGAGACATGAAGACATTCCCAGAGCAACGCACACCCCATGTGCAAAACTTTGAAGTATTTTGCTTGCACGTGGCTGGCCTAAAGCTCATGGTACAAGGACTTAAGTCAGTGATTTCTCATTTTTTGTTGACCCCTGGATAACAGCACCGAGCAAATCACACTGTGTCCTTTGTGCTCTTCCTGTGGCCCTGGACTGGGAGCCTTTTGCCAAGCCCATGATCACCCAGTCCAGTGGCACCAGTGTCACTTTGTTCTCAGCGTCTTGTCGGCACTTGTAACCATCAGTACATTGCAGAGTGTTTTCACTTTGTCGTTTGAAAGGAGCGCAGCAAGCAGTGGCCGTGTCTTCCGTCTCCCCGCCGGCCCCGTTCCAGAACGTCCCTCCAGCTGTGTCTCAGACGCCCGTCATTGCTGCCACCCCCGTGCCAACCATCACTGCTAATGTCCCGCCTGTCACTGCCCCTCCCGCCGCTGCTCCCCCTCCGCCTGCTGCTCCGATAATGCCTGTGGTGCCTCCTACGCCACCGGTAGTCAAGGTAAATGGAGAACTCGACCCCTTCCTCTTCAGAAGACAATATTGCTAAGCAGTGCTTTATTTTCATCCCGTCACTGCTGGTTACGTGCATTCCTTCTCTTCACATTTGACTCTTTGCCTCTCTAGCCATCATTGTCCCTTTGGGATGTGCTCAGACAAGTGCTTGCTGTTGAGTTTGAGAGGGATAAGAAAAGTTTTGCCAGTTTTGCCACACTCCAGCTGAGATGTCAACTGTAGTTGCTCCAACTCAGTTACAAGCTGTCATCTGACCATAGCTTAGCCAGTGCTGATGCTCCATGAACCAGAAGGCTGTTGGAGGTTTCCCCCATTTTGCACCATATAGCCCGAAGAATATCTTCCCTCTGTAACTGAGCCCCTGATTTTACTGGGACTATTCCTTTAAAGTTTGCAGACTCCAGCACTAGGAATGTTCCTCTCTGCCATAAACCAGTTCAAGACAAGCCTGTCACTCCAGTTGGAGGAGACTGATTGTTGCCTGCAGGTTTTGGGTGCATTAGCACTGTCTTCCTTACTGAGTAATCTTCTGGGAGTTGTCATTGGTGTTTTGCTGTTTACTGTGTTAATTTATGGGTAAATGAAAACATTGCTCTAAATAATTGGAATTTTCCTAGCAAGTTGCGTATTGCTTTAAAAATGAGGAAAGCGTAGCTCAGAGAAAGCTGTTTGTTTTTTTTCCTAAACTGGGGAAGTAACTGCAACAGTATTGGTGTTCTCTACTGTGAGGTTGCATGGACCAGCCGAGCCACAGAATTGTCTGGCTTATTTAACCCTATGGTTTGGGAATTACTAGAGAAATTGTAAGTCAGATCTTCTTGCAGCTAAGCTGAACTCCTGAGAAGCCTGTCTCATACTTCAGTTTCTGTCCAAATAACTTGCTTCTGAAAATCAATTTAATTTTGAAACTCAAGAATGAACCCAGAAGTGAGTTTGCCAAATACACACTGCAAAATTAATTCTGCTTGGGATTTACTTAAGATTTCCCTAAGGAATGTTTTTTTCCTCTTTCTCTCGCTCTCCAGAGAAATAAATCCTTCGTAGGAGCACAAGAGAGAGCTGACTGGACAGTCACAGCTTGAATTTATGTGAGAGAGGTTTTATTTGCTTAAGGCAAAATCATTAAATTCTTGCTCTTGTCCATAATAAGCAATCTACCTTAGCATACCCACTGAATACGAGGGAGTGAGGGCTTATGGGTCTTTGGTGATTAATATGCTTTGGTTCAGAACTTATAGCCTGATCCTGCCACTGGGGACTCAGACATGTGGTTAAGTTACTGACACTTACTAAGTCACGATGCATCAGCTGAGCTGCAGTAATCGACTGGGCGCACTCCTTTCCCTTGGCAAACATGAGGTAAGAGTCCTTAGTTTAAATCTCAGTGAAATACATAGAGCTAACACGTTTTGCATCATGTTTGGGGTTGGGTTGGAGACGTGCAAATGGCTGGTTACTGTGGCTCAGATGACATGTGGTAATACATCGTGTTGTAGTCACTGAATTGTTATGTTGAAGCCTCTAGTTACAAGTCCCATTTATCCCAGTGAAGTAACTGTATTTTCTGTCAGAGGACAGGCAGATCTCAAAAACAGGGATGAACTCTGCTAGGTTTCTGCTAGCGTAGCACAAGAACTGGGCACATACTCATGAAGCCTGTCCATCTACTGTTTCAGAAAAAGGGAGTGAAGCGGAAAGCAGACACGACAACCCCCACCACCTCTGCGATCACTGCCAGCCGAAGTGAGTCGCCCACCCCCCTCTCGGACCCCAAGCAGGCCAAAATCATCGCTCGACGGGAGAGCGGCGGCCGGCCCATCAAACCACCAAAGAAAGACCTTGAAGATGGAGAGGTCCCCCAGCATGCAGGGAAGAAGGGCAAACTCTCTGAGCACCTCAAGTACTGTGACAGCATTCTCAAGGAAATGCTCTCGAAGAAGCATGCAGCCTATGCGTGGCCCTTTTACAAGCCTGTTGATGCAGAGGCCTTGGAATTACATGACTATCATGATATTATCAAACACCCCATGGATCTCAGTACTGTTAAAGTATGTCCACATTTACCACCTCTTTTGCAGGGTATCACAGCCCTCTGGTTGCAGAGGACTGACTCCTTCTGGGGGAGGGGGAAGGGACAAGGGTGGAAAACTGAAGCTGTTTGGATATCATCTGGATATTTTTATATTTTTTTTCTTTCCCCTGTCCTTTTTTTCCCATAACCTGGGACTTTTTTTTTTCTGCCCTGCAAAGCAGACTGTACGATGGCATCCTCTCCTCTTTGTGGATAGTCCAGCTATTTAAACTTGCGTCCTTGGGATTGTGTTGCACTCTGAGAAGAAGAGGTGCTGTATTTCATAGGATTCGATTGATAGTATCCCATTTCCAGAAACTGCTGCCTGCCTACTTGTTGGCATGATGTGTGGTCCAGATAGGCTTACGCTGAGCAATTCCAACCAGAACGTGATGATTGCCTGGTACTTGGGGAGGGGAGGAAATAACGTGATGCTTGTGTGGTTTATGCTTGGCTCTTCAAGAGCTTAGCTTAGTATGGTCCAATATTCAAGGTAATTTTCCCAGTAGACTGGAAGGTTTTCTGAATCCCTCCTAAATATCCATGGAGCAAAGCCTTGTTTTTCTAGTTCCCATCCTCTGCTTGCGAGCCAGCCATTGGAACTGGTGTTGGTGGAGGTGAGACTTTATTCCATGTGCAGAAAGTTAAGGTATTTCTGCTGGCTTTCACTACCATGCCAGAAGTGTTTTGCTGCCAGCTGAGCCAATGCCTGGGATTGTCTAAATACCCAGATGACAAAAGGGCAGCTGTGTTCGTGATTCCTTTCATGTTCCTTGGCAAACCCTATGTAGTACCTGGAAGCAGTGTGTCATGCTCTGATGTGCCATGCCATTCAGTCATGATGCTGCAGGGGTTCTTACTACAGCTGCAGTATTTTTACAAGTATCTTAGTTGCATTATTTAGTGGTGAGAGAATAGTTGTCATGGTCTGTGTGTTGAGGATTAGACCAGGAGTTGCCAGTGTCTGAGTTTTAATTGCTGTTCTGATGCTGTGGTTCTGGGCAAGGTTCCCTACAAATCTGTGCCTTAGATTTCCCAGTCATAAAATGGAGATAATAATATTTAACCTACCTCACAGGGCTGTTGTGAGGACAGATATCTGGAAGGCACTGTCTAACTGTCAATAATTATTATTATTGATTGGGTTTGTCGAGAAAAGACTGTCTCTGAGCTGGCAAAAGTATGGTAAGCAAGATCTGGTGGAGCTAGGCTTGGAGCCATTCTCCTGAGCTTGCAGTGCCTTTGCTTTATTTACAAAAGCCAGTGCAACTTGCAGTATTTTTGACTTGCAATTAAGCCAAGCTGTGTTAAAGGCCTGCAGCAATTTCCTGGCAGGAGAATAGGACAAGACGAAGGGTGAACTGAGCTGCAGGCAAGAAGAGGGAGCTTGAAACACAGTGGTAAAAGCAGCAGGAAGGGCTAGGTTGAACATGGTAGTCTGTGAAGCTGGTGCACTGGTGCCTGGCTGTAATGCTCTGCTGACAGAGGAAGGTCCCAGTGTTTTCTTGGGTAAGTTTCCATTTTCTTTCGCTCGTGAGCGTGGATGAGGAGGGAAGAAGTTCCCCTTAGTTTTGATACTGCAGTATGTTCACTATCCTGCTGATTTTGGCTACCCAGTACTGAAGGCCTACTTGATCCTTGTACATTACTTTAGTTATATGACTTGCTGTCAAGATCTGCTCACTCATTGGAGTTGCTCCTCTGCACCAGCTTGGAGGTCCATCCACATGGCTTGAATCATAGGCTAATGGGTAATTTAGGTTGGTCAGGAGGCCTGCCCTCTGCTCAGAGCAGGGTCACTGGCACACTCTGATCGGCTCCCTTCCAGGGGTCACCCCCTTCCCAGCTGAGTGAGTCTGACCTTGCTCCTCTGTGGGCTGAGAGTAGGAGCAGATTGCAAATGGGGTTTTCTGTGTTCTTCTGTAAGTGAGATCAGAGGTGCAATACTTAGGTTGCATCAGGAACCTTCCTATATGATGTTCTGGTTACTGTGCATACAATTACACTTACCCATGCTTATCATAGGCTACACGTCAAAATCTGTTCTAAGAGTCTATAAACTGGCCAGTAGCTTTAAAGGAATTTCAAAGTATGTCTGATTCGCAGAAATGACTGAGATGGGAAGAAGCATCTCTTGCTTAGTGCAGCAGTTCTTTTTGTCATCACATTAGAGTCATGACGTGCTGTTGATAGCCTTTTCTCTACTAGTCTTGTGAACACAAGTCATTAGATGATCATGTCCTAGATTAACTCATTCAGTTACTGTACTGAGTTTAGTGGGGCTGCTGGTAAACCTCAGCTCAGTCACATTCCCTTGACTTCCTAGGGATGCTGTGAGTCTCCAGAGATACGTGCAGCCTGGTAGATCAAGCCCTGGGTGAATGCAGTAAAATTAGAGATGGAGGAGTGAAATCCTGACTCTCAAAGCTGGTATTTCCATGTATGGTTAGGTGACTTCTTATTGCAAAAGATTCTGTGCTGTATTCTGCAAAATCTAGGTGCAAAGCTGTGATTTCTTGGGTTGGTGGCTTCTTCACAGTTAAATCTTTTTATAGTCCTAACTTCATTCTTTTAAAAAGTGTACACCTCTGCCCTTTTCCTGCAAATGCAGGTGATACGCTCCCTCTGTACCTTACTAGTGTAGGGCAGAAAACTAGAGACAAGTTAATGGCAGACCCAGTGGAGTCTTTTGTATATAAAGACTCTGGATTTGTCTTTCCACATGGTAGTATTTTTCTTAATAAACTTATTTGAAGTGCTGTCTGGTATTGTTTTTTTATGGAGTGTTTTATTATTGTTCTTGGCCTGTAGATCATAGTGTGACTTCTCTGAGATGCAATCTGTAATACGTTAACTGCATGGATCAGAAGCCTGCCATTTGCAGGCAGTGTAATTCTCCAGCATCAGGGGCTTTCTCCGTGGCTCTGAAAGGTTTTAGACTTAATTCTGCACAAGTGACAGTGGCTGTAGTAAAGCAGTGCAACTAATGGCCTTCAAACTAGTTTTGAAGGAATTACATGAGAAAGTAGAACATGAGCATTGCTGCAGCTATAATAGATTCCCCAATACCTGGTTGCTTGTCGCTGTGGTTCTCTGGTTGTATGAGGTTTGATTTTATTCAGAGAATATCCTTCATGTCCAGGAGCATGTTTTTTTCAGGCTGTGCACCCAGTGGAGGTGTGGTTCGGAAGGATTTGGAGATTGTTTTCTCTGTGCGTGTGGTGGAGAAGGCAGGTTGGCTGTCGTGGCTGTGCCGGTGGAGGGGCTGTAGCTGAGCTTGTTGCAGCCAGGAGCAGAGGGGTGTGCTGGAGTGCCGTGCTGGAGCTAGGACTGAGAGTGGGAAGAGCTGAAGGAACAGGATCCGTGAGCTCATCTCCACCTCAATTCTTTGATAGTTGTCACAGAGGGGGAAAGAGCAGAACTGTTTGGAGTAGAGAGAGAAAAGGATGAAAGCATGAGGAGAGAGAGGGGGGCAGAGGCATGGGCTATGCTTTAAAAACTAAGAGGCAGCAGCCCTAGTTCCCTACAGTAAGTGAAATGCTTGCTATGAAGCTGTAGCAGCCCTGTGCTTCTGCTGCCCTGTCCACAGGCAGACAGGACCCACTTGCAGCATGTTCATGTCCCCCCTCTGATGCTGGGGAGCTTTGGTGTGGGACGGCAAGGTGCTGTGCCTGCAGTGGAGCTGGGGGGAACCTACAGCACCTCTTCTCTCACTCCATCATCTGGCTGCCGGGTCACAGCAGCAGCAATGTGGATGTCTCTGCCTTTGGTTTACTCAGTGGCGAACAGCCAACAGTCCTTGCTATGCAAGAGGATTTATACAAGGTGTTTACTTTTGGAATAAAGTGCTACCTCCAGGGGTCCGACTATGCTCACTGGTTAATTTTCTTGCAGTGAATTGCTGTGGCTTCAGATCAGCTGAGTTCAGGGTCATGAAAGTGAGGAGACGTTCTTTGGGGGAATTTTTAAAGATTTCTTTAGTTGCACCTATTTTAAGAGTACAAATGCAGCTTCACAAAGCAGCAGCTCTTGTTGAGGCAGTTTCTGTAAGGTGCAATTAGGCCTCCAGAAATCAGACTGTGTCCTCATCAGCTGGTAAAGATGGCATTTTCTCTGGTAAAGTCACTGGACCTGTGTGGCCCTGTCCCTCATCAGTGCCTGCCCTGATGCCTTGCCAAGGCTTGTGCTTTGGGGACAGACTGATGTCCAGTTTAGTCTTGGAGAAGATACAATGGAAAGGGGACGTGTTAGATCTTCAAGCGCATAAGACTGCTGCAAGAAGGGAGGGAACAAAGTTTTCTCTACATCCTCTGTGGGCAGGACAAGGCTTACCTTAGAGCAAGATACACATTAAACCTTAGGAAACAAATTTCTGAACATTAAAGAATATTAAACAATTGAATTGATTGCTGAGGGAAAAATAAGATTGTTGTGGTAGATATTGCATGGGACAGAGAATGGACTAGCTGGTCTTCTAGCACCTCTGCCAGTCCTGCTTGTCTATGGCTCTTGATGTGCAATTGTAAATGAAGTAACTTTTTTTTAAGCAGCTGGATATCTCAAAGTGAATTTGTAAGCAAAGATATTCTAGCCCACCAATTTAAAGTCCTTTTTTTTTTTGCTTTTGTTAAGTTAATTATTCTTTACAAGAAAACAAAACAAAAATCCACAGTTTAAAACCATTGGGCTAGAAAACTGTTGAGTTTGGATAAAAGCAAAACCTCAGACACTGGAATGTATTTCATAGGCAGTAATCAGCCAGTGAGTGTGCCAAATATAAGCGCATCAAAAAGGCCTTTCATGCAATAAGATGTATTTTAAAATAAATGAGCCCTTTTTTTTTGAACATATGTTTTGCTTTGGAATGGGCCTGAGACACTTTTCAAACAAGGCCAGCACTCCTTCAGACAGGAGCAGCACAAACCTATTTCCCTTTCTGTCTTTGTGTGATGGCTCAGAGGCTGTCTCCTAGTTTATTCACCAAGGGAATGAGGTTTTGTGACAAAAGTTTGACAGATGTCTGGCTGCAGCACCACAGGGAGTCAGGCTGCAGGAATGTCACCACCCAGCATGCAGGTCCCTCTGAAGCTGCATCCCTGGAGGTGAAATTCTGCCCTAATCGGAACAAAAATCAGTTTTAGGAGTCATTGCAGTGTTTCAAGATAGTTACAAGGTCTACTGCGTAGCCATGAAATATCTGTAGCTTCTGTTGAACAAATGGGAATTTTGCTTGCGTTAAGTCTTCTAGCACGGGTTACAGACCCTAAGCAGCCCTGCTTTCTGCTCGGATGAGGGATGTGTCTTCCCAGATCATGTTTGCAGCTTGTCTGCCAGTCAGCCCCTTCCCTTCACTGGGGGAATACAGGTGCACAAGACATACAAAAGGGAGGCCTGCAAGCACTTGGCAAATAGAGAATTTCTTTAAACTCAGGTCTTTTAAATGCAAATGAAATCTAGTGTTAGCTTCTTTTCCTTTCAGTAGGAGTAATTGGAGCTAAGGTTTTATACATGGTAGTAATATATGCATAAAATCAATTAAGTTCTAGGAATGCTATAAATTGTTCTTTAAACCCAAGTCACTCAGTCCCAAACAGGAAGAGAAATGGACGAAAGTGAGAGCTGAAAACTAAGAGAAAGGAACAAGGTGCAAATATTTAGTTCCTGATACTTATCCTCACTGCACTAGGAAATAACATTATGAATAGGTTCGTAAAAGGTGAATTCTGTATGCATTCTCTATCAGTTGGACTTCTAAATCAAGAGTAGGTGTTGTAGTTTAACTGTAAATGCCCATCTTGCTGTAGGAATCACCAAGCAAAATTCATGCCCTGTGTTAGCAGGAAGTCAGAGTGAGATGGTCACGATCTTTTCTGCCCGTTCCGATTTACAGGGCAAACATACCCAAGCAGCACATAGAAATACATGCTTAAGGTACTCCTGTAATTGTAACTTGGTTGGTTGTTGACTCTTGCCCTTCCCGTCCATGATCCCTGTTTACGTCCGTTTCTGATCCAGCAAACCCTTTTTCTAAATGACTCGATTTTCTGATAGAATGTAGACCCTGACAGATTTATATAGTACTCCCTAGAAAAAGAAAACAACCTAAATTTAGAATCTTAAAATGTTTAAACTGTTGTGGAGCAATATCAGCTTCTTTGGTTGTCTGGTGTTTGTTTGCTTGCTTGTTTTAAAAAGCAGAAACTCTGAATGTTATTTAGGAACCAATAAGCCCTGATCAAACTACTGTTCTCTTAGACAAATGCGATTTTTTTAAGGCTGTTCTCAGCTGTCTCCAAGATGCACGTGTCCTCCATGCAGTTGCTACAAATGCCTTTTGCTTATGGCTTTCTCTCCCTTTTCCCTTTGGCTTGTTTGTCTGCAGAAAAAAATGGACAGTCGGGAATACCAGGATGCACAAGGTTTTGCAGCAGATATTCGGTTAATGTTCTCTAATTGTTACAAGTACAATCCTCCAGACCACGAAGTAGTAGCGATGGCCAGGAAGCTCCAGGTAAAGGTGTTGGCAAATGTGTCTTCCAGCATACATTTAGTTCAGCTACAAGGTGTCGATTCAGAGATCCAAGCATGGATCTGCTCTGGGCACCAACAAGGGTCCTTCCTCCAGCCCTTGGAAAAAGCCACGTTCTCTGCTGCAGAACTGTTGTGCTCTTCACATGGCATGGCCTAATGCCACGTTCTGCTCCTAAAACGTTGTAGTCGTTGCTGTATGAAGTAATGGGAGAATGTTCTTGGGTTTACAGAATATGTATGCCCATCTGTACGTTATTATTTACTTGTACAGCACCTTGTGTAATGCAGTAAGACCCTGACCCATGGTGGGGTGTCTAGCGTGTTTAAAAGGCCAGCATGAGGTCTTTGTTGCTGTGGCTCCTTTTTTCACCAGTTTTTCCTCCTTTTTGTAGGATGTCTTTGAGATGAGGTTCGCAAAAATGCCCGATGAGCCTGCAGAGGCCCCACCTCCACCTCCACCAACAGCACCAGTAGTGAGCAAAAGCACAGAGAGCAGTCACAGCAGTGAGGAGAGCTCTTCTGACTCAGATAGCTCAGACTCGGAAGAAGAGCGAGCAACTCGGCTGGCGGAGCTCCAGGAGCAGGTATTGCAATGGCCAAGCTGTGTGTCTGTGTCTGTGCAGTAGAAAGGGCATAGCAGGAGGAAGGGTTTAATTTTGTTCTTAAAAATCCCACCTAGGCTGGGGTGCAGCAAGGCAATCTCCCTTTCTGCCAGCTAAAGGAAGAAAATGCTCAGCTGTGAAATAAGTGTATGTTGGATGTAATGTTAATTTTCTTTGAGGTAGCCATTCTCGGTGCTGATGCTCTGTGCTTCCTTCTGGGATCCCAGAGTATGAAAGAAGGTGCACACAACACCTAGAGATCTGGGAAGAGCAGAGAGGCCCACTTTGTTTGAGAGCTCAGGCGTAACAAAATCTGTCACAAGCTTCCTGTGGGATATTGTCCTCCTGTACCTCATCTGCAGAAGTGAGCTGTTTTGACTGTTGTGGTTGCGAACACTTAAGCCATTGCCTTTCTTATTATGCAGATATACAATGCCAGATGCTACAGTGCTTACATGTGCTACTGTAACACAAAAAAGCATTAATAAAATAGCTTAACCAGTGTCTCAAAGCAAGCTAGTAGGAGAGCCAAGAAGCGAACTCAGGATTCCAGAGGCCAAGTTGTCAGCACTCTAGATGGAGCTATTAAGCTTAATTTTTATTTGCCCCTATAAAACAAGAATGACATTTTCATTTGAGTCAGCTTCTGCATACTTGCACTGTATTTTTAAAAAAATTTCAAATCAAGCAAAGTCTCCTGAGTTCAATCACTGGACTGCTTGATGACTGACTTTGGGATATACTTACACGTTGGGATGTAGAGGAGGGGTATGTGGAGACATCAGTTGTCTTGCCTTGAAGTCTGATTAATTTTGTCACTGTTCTCCCCCAGCTAAAGGCTGTCCATGAGCAGCTAGCTGCATTGTCACAAGCGCCAGTGAACAAACCAAAGAAAAAAAAAGAGAAGAAGGAAAAAGAGAAGAAAAAGAAAGATAAAGAGAAGGAAAAAGAAAAGCACAAAGTAAAAGCTGAGGAGGAGAAGAAACCCAAGGTGGCTCAACCGCCAAAACAAACTCAACAGAAGAAAGCCCCAGCTAAGAAAGCAAACAGCACGACCACAGCTAACAGGTGAGAGCCTGCCTTTTGCAAGTTGCCTTAAGAGGAATACCAAGAGCTTCCAGCCCAGTTCTCCTGTCCCTCCTGTCCCCGTTGAATCTCTGGTGAAGTTCAGTTGTCAGAGCAGTTAATTTGCTATTGAATAGTGTCCCCATTCCCAGACAACTCCAGAGAGTGTTTAAGTTAGAACTGGCAGTGGAACCATCATATTTCCACTGCCCAACTCTCTTAGAATCCCTGCCTGATCACTCTCAGATAAGGTTTCGCTTTTTGCCTTTTGTGCAGCCAGCAAGCACATGCCATTTCATTGCTGCCCCCCTGCCGCTCCATGGGCTTGTTGTCATGCCTCACAGGGCTAAAGTATAATAGGAGTAGAGCAGCTGATCCCAGATTTCTGAACTTTTTCAGAAGATGTGGTGCTGTTCAAACCATCTGGCTAGAGGTTCAAAACCAAGAGTATTGGTGTGTTTGTTACAAGGAGAGCAGAAAAAGAGTTCATTGCTTCTATATACCTATGAATGTTTCCATGCTTGCCACTCCCCCCAGGCAGCCCAAGAAAGGAGGCAAACAGGCATCTGCAACCTACGATTCAGATGAGGAGGAGGAAGGTCTGCCCATGACCTATGATGAGAAACGACAGCTCAGCTTGGACATCAACCGCCTGCCTGGGGAGAAGCTAGGCAGGGTGGTGCACATCATCCAGTCGCGGGAACCTTCCCTCAGAGACTCCAATCCTGATGAGATAGAAATAGATTTTGAAACATTGAAGCCCACAACTTTACGAGAACTGGAGAGATACGTGAAATCTTGTTTACAGAAAAAACAAAGGAAACCATTTTGTAAGTTACCTCCTGGGGCATGTGTTCCCCCACCAGCTCTTGGGCTCAGCTTTGGAGTCAGGGCATGTGTGTTGGGATTCTCTTATCCAGCTGTTGGGTATGTGATGACAGGGATTTTTAGAGATTCTTTTCTCCCAAGAAAATGTAAAGAAGCTTTCTATTTTTTCTGTTCTTTCTTCCCATGATGTCATGCCGTGGAGACCTGGAGGACTATTGTGTTCCTCTGCAAGACCTGTGTGATGCCTTTATTACTTATCTAGAATCTAGAAGGCACTATAAAGGTTTCAGTCTCAGTGTGTTAGGTGTTATGTGCACACACCTGGAAGGATCAGTTTCTTATCCTGAATAGTTTAGCATCTAGTTAGGAAGGAAACAAAAAGCATGGCTGGGATCCAAAACACCAAGAGAATAAATGACTTGCACAAAGTTACCTGGGCAACCTGTGGATTCTGGGTGTAAGTGTCCAAGTTGTATATTCACCCCAAAACTGCTATTCCTACATGGCTTGATCACCGTATTACCCTCAGTCTCTATCAGATCAGAGGATCAATGTTAATGCACTGCTGAGTGTGCGGTTCAGTATGGGACAGACTTTTCTCTGTGCCTCGTCCACAGAGAGTGAATTGTTGCAGCCCCTTGAGAGTTTAGCTCCAGCTAAATAGCAATAGGATCACTTACCTGAAGCTGTCCTGGCTCTGTCCATCTGCTTGGCGGTTAAGAGGGAGTTGTCCTGTTAAGAGTGTAACACAATAGCTACTCACAACTCTTGCAGAGCACCTCCATTTCTTCACCGCAGGAGTTTCAGGTAGGCCTAAGCAAAGCTCAGACTTTTGCTCTTCTTTTTGCTTTTTAATACACTGCTTTGATTTCACCTCCCCTGCCCTGAGTCCTTCACTGTTGGAATAGCTCAGGAAAAGATATTCCAGAGTGGTTAGGAACAAGAAGCATCCTTTTGTTTTGGAACCAAAGCGTAGAGTAACACAGATAACCTCAGATGTCTGCTTCTCTTGAGGCTGGTACGTGCTGGGCTGGCATGCTGGCATGGCTGACCCCAGCCAGACTTCTGTACTGTCTGCTGTCTAGTGCAATGCGTAGTGTTCAGGGGCGCACCCTCTTAGGACTGTGCTTTCCAGATTTCTCTTTTTTTTAAATCATTGCTTTAAAACAGCGCACAGAAATGTAGGTATTTCCTTGCTGGATCAGGCGAAATGTCTGGCCCCTGTCTTGTGCTTCTGATACTGGCCAACACCCATGTTCAATTACTCCTTCTTTGGAGGAATATTTTTTTCTGCCTAGAAGTATGAGTATTGCTGGTACTTCTCACCATTTCCATCCTAACTGATGCAGCTACATTCCTGTTGTCTGCCAGCCTTTGCCTCCATTGGTTTTCAATTTGTCCTTTTTGTTTTGTTTTATACTTAAAGCAACGTAAAACACAGTGGATTCTTGCGTGAGGTATCTTAAGTTTTAATGGCAGATGCTTACTTCTGGCAACCTTTAATGGGACACTTTATTTTACAGGGCAGAAAACCCATGTAACAATTCTGTAATTACAAATGTGTAACTATTGACCATATAACTGGCTGGTAAGTAACCTGTAACTACAAGGTCATTATATGGATATTTCTATCTTCTGAAATACTTTCCACAAGATCTCTCTTAAAAAGTGCATGTTACAGGATGATGGTGATTAGATGATCTAGACAACTTCATATGTTGTCTTCTATCTGGGATGTGTAGTTGCTGTGTGATCGCTTGATCTTAGCAGTGTCACTGCGGAGTGGTTGCACAGATTTACATGCCCTGTAAAATAGCGATGTCCACTCTTTTTTGCCTGCAACCATGCAGTTTCAGAAATTGTGCGTTCCTCCTCCACAGCTACAAGTGGAAAAAAGCAAGCAGCAAAGTCAAAAGAAGAGTTAGCTCAGGAAAAGAAGAAAGAACTAGAAAAACGGTTACAGGACGTCAGTGGGCAGCTAAACAACAACAAGAAACCTGCAAAGAAAGGTAATGGCTTTGTTTTTACTGTGCTAACAATGCCCCAAAAGTGTGTATGTAGATAGACTTCCTCAGTGAGTCAAAACTACTGCCTTCTCGTAGCCTTGGGTTTGTCTCTGTGACAGTTACCCCAGTTGGTCAGTAGTGTCTGGACACAGCGAGAGCTAAACAACAACAAGAAACCTGCAAAGAAAGGTAATGGCTTTGTTTTTACTGTGCTAACAATGCCCCAAAAGTGTGTATGTAGATAGACTTCCTCAGTGAGTCAAAACTACTGCCTTCTCGTAGCCTTGGGTTTGTCTCTGTGACATTTACCCAGTTGGTCAGTAGTGTCTGGGCACAGCGAGTTACTGCTGGGCCCTGAGCTACTGTGTGGGGGCTGCTTTGATCCCTGTCCAGGTGGAAGCTCTCCTTGGGTGGTAAATGTGAGGTGTCTTGAAAGCAATTCATTCTTCGGAGGCAGGAGGATCTCCTCCTCTGTGTTAGCCCATGGAGGACTGCATACAGACCAGTACCGCAGAGCATCTAACAGATGATTTTTCTCCATTGTGGGGTTAAAAAATGCCCAAGCCCCCCGCATAGTGCAATAAGCGTGAAAGATGGTACAAAAGGTTATTCCAGTGCAAACTAAGCTGCTTCTGGCTTCGCACAAGTCAGGCAGGGTTTTCTTGTGTTCAGAGGTTGCGCTGAAGCACTGGGAGGCTGTGGACACAGCTCCCCAGATGCTCTGTGCTGTCTCACCATGAGCACCGTAGGGCGGCGGAGGACATTGCCCTCCTATAGGACTCCTGTGTGAATTCCAAACTTTTGTGGTTGCCTGCAGCGTGAGAAACCTTGCCATCCACTGGCAGGACAGGCCTTGTTGCGGCAAGCACAGGCTGCGGGTAAATAAGTTGCCCAGGAAAAATGAAGTTGTGAATGAAGCTGTGGAGGATGAAGGCTGTGGTCAAACCTTCTCCATTTCAGTTCCTTGCAAGTAACCACATCACTGCCTTCTCCCCTGCAGAGAAATCCGGCTCGGCTCCCTCCGGAGGCCCTTCCCGGCTCAGCAGCGGCAGCTCCTCCGAGTCCGGGAGCAGCAGCTCCAGTGGCTCCAGCTCAGACAGCAGCGATTCGGAATGAGTTACGGACACTTACACACAAAACACAAAATGGACATCACCCTCACCGATGCTCTGCAGTGTTCCTTTCTCTCCTTAATATACTGCTCTTGTTCCACGGTGGTCAGGTTTTTTTCCCTTTCTCCTTCTCTGACTTTTTTATTTTATTTTTTAATTCAGTGTTATAAAAGGTATCTTCCATTTTATTGGGGAGCGCTCTTTTAATAGGTCAAAGATCTTTGCGTGTGTGTGTATGTGTGTGACTAGACTTTATGACAAATAGTTCCTTTTGCATAAAGTCTCTAAAATACATTTTAACTTTTAACATTTAAGATTGGTTGAAAATGGAAGAACTTTGAACTCTTAGCAGGAGATAAATAGAAAGTTCTGCAAGGTTTGTAGTACACTTCCCTCCCACCCCTTCCCTCTCCCCAGAATGTTCTCTTTTAATAAGCTTGCCTGGCTCACACAAGGTAAAAAAAAAAAAAAAAATCATCTTTTTTAAAAGAAATCTCTGTAAAATGGTACTGTATCTGAAAGATGTTAGCTTTTGAACTAGTTGGTGTATTTGTTATTAGCACTAGTATTCTTAATCTCGAAGTCTACAGTGTGATGAAAATGTCAGATGCTATCATCTTTTTACATAAAAACAAACAAACAAACAAAAATTCTCATGTACTGTGGATTGCTAACATGCTTTTTTTTTTTAATCTTGGTAGAGGCATAGGCACCTGTTCAGGAAGGTATTTAAGCATGAATTTAACTTTCAGCACATGAACAATATAAGTGGTTGCATTTCTTGTTTTTCCACTCAAAATTTTCATTTTTCTTGGGGATACGTTGGGAAGAAGGGAGCAAGAGACACTCAAGTTTCTTGTGAATGTTATTTTTAACATCAAATAGATGATTTCCAGGAAATGGACGCTCTCTATGAAGTTTTCATTTAATTGAAAACAGGTTTTGGCTGAAAGTACTCAGCTGGACCTCAGAGCGATCCCTGCAGAGTGACCAAGGCAGGTCATGTGCTCCTTATTAGACACGTGCTTAAGTACTTTCTCCATGACAAGCACCTCAGTCTGGGCTTAAAATAAAGGAGCACTTGAGCTCCAGCTGAGACTGAGCTGGCAGGGGAATTGGAGAGGGATGTTGTGTGTGTTTGAGTTTTGGTTTTTTTGGGTTTGTTTTTTTTCCTCTCCTTATCATTTCAGTAGTGAGCTCCTAGAAAGGGAATGCTACTCTTGTGTCATGCAGGGTGCAGGTTTCCAGACACTGAAATGCTTACCTCAATAAAAATTAAAAAGAGGGGAGGGAGAAAAAAAGAAGAGATAGTTTTTTAAGGCTTGCAATTTTTTGAGTCCAGCCTAATGTTTTGACCTGCACTGCTGCAATACACTCTCTTTTCACTGTCCCTAATTTCATGTATATAGGAGTACTTTATTTATTAAACACCATTGGTCATTTAAAACTTAATAAAAAAATAACAAAAGCAAAACTGCATGATGCAGACCAGCAGAAATGCAGACTTTTAATGTGGTTTGAGCCAGATGAAAAAAAAAAAAACAACAAACAAAACAGCAACAAAGCAAATAAAAATCTGAGACTCTATTTAAATACATTGGACTTTATACCTACAGGTGCTACAGTCCAGTCTATTGTGTGTCAGGTGCTCTGTCGTGTTTAGTGTGTTCATTTTTTTTGTTTGTTTTCTCTCTTCTTTCTCTTTTCACCCCACTCCCCCTTTTTTCCTGTTTTGTACAGATTTTGGAGACATACAGGTAGATAAGATTTCTTGATACAGCATGTTACTGTTTTCTCAGTAATATTTTCAGAGGTCTTTCCCCCCCACCACCTTTTTTTTTTGTAGAACAGTGGGAGTTTTTTCTTTTCTAATCCAATTTTAGGAAAACATCAGTTCTATAATTATATAAAATTTGTAATCTGAGGGGCAGAAATTTATTGTAAATTCTTAACTTTTTATTGTAAAGAAAAAATATACAGAGTTTAACAGAAAATTATGCCTTTTCTGCTCCCAGCACCATCCCCTAAGGCTGCCTCTCTGCTGTGGAGTAGCCCTAAAATTCACCCTGCTGCGGTCTCTGTTAGTGGTTTGCCAGAGGCCCCATGGTGCCAATTGCACCAGCTTTTATTTGTCACATAGGTGAGTGGCCCTGGAGGACTCCTCAGCCCCAGCACACAATTTTCATTGCATGCTCAGACACCAGGAGCTAGGACAGGAGATCGCGTGCTGGGATGTGTGGTGTCTGGTGATGTCCCTTTGCCAGAAAGCTGGGGAAGTGCTGGGCCAGCCTGTTTTTAGCACTCCATGGTTTGCACTTCTGACTGCATCCACAGTCAGCTGCCAGTCACTGCCCATCGACTGAGGTTTTGTTAGCTAGACACTTATGCATCTGTCTTTAAAAATCTATCTTTCAAAGATCAGCATTTCAGAGCGTTCAGATGTGCGTCTCATACAGCTGATGTGCCTGTGGCTGTATCTTATCTGTATAGTGGCAGTAGCACACTCTCCACAGTCTGCTGTAGAAAAGAACTCTCATTTTTTTGCTGTGAGTGATGCTGTGCTGCTGTGAGGCACTGAGTTCCTCCTAGAAGTTGCTGGGCATCTTGGGCTTGTTTTGCAATCACCAGGGTGCTTGGCCTGGTGGCAGGAGCCTCTTGCGTCTTTGCAGATAGTTTCCCATAGTATTTGAAAATGGATAAACTAGGGTATTCCGATTCTTACTGAAATTAATGATTTTTCTTTTAACAATTGAGTTATTTTTAGTTCCTACTTTTTTTTTTAATTCTGCCCTTAAAAGAATCTTCCCCTAGACAGATCATTAGTAATATATTTTCAGAATTTTCTATGAGGAAATGTAATGTACACCTAATTAAGAGCTTAGGGTTTTTTTTAATGGGGCTGAGTTTCATCTATGTTTCTCCTATTGTCTGAGACTTGCATTATCAAAACCAACTAGGATTTTAATTAAAATAATTGCAACCAATTCAGTACCATGACAGCTTGGATAAACAAGCTCCCTGTTTTCCCTGCTTGAAACCTTTTCCTGCATGCATTAACGTGAGTTATGCCATTGCTGTAACATGGTGGTCGCTCCCATGTGGAGAACAAACCGCAGCCGGCGTTGGAGGCAATAGCAGCCCACCTGGCAGCCGCTCTCACCAGCATCACCGCCACGCAAAGCCCAGGGACCTGGCTCTGCAGTGTGTCACCATCCTCCGACGGTGGGGACAGCCTCACTGACCACAGCCAGGGTACAGACATTCCTCTAGGACACATGGGTCTGTCCCACCGAAATCAGTGGCGAGGTTAGAGCCAAAGGGTTGGGAACAAAGCATGAAGTGGTGGAAAGGGGCCTGGCCTGAGACTGTCTGCAGCGCTGGAGGAGGATCCCTATTTTAGGTGGGAAACCTGTCCTAGCTTGGGGATTTGCAAGGAAAACAAGTAACCAAAACCACCAAGGAGTATGAAGAACCACCTGCATAGCTTTGATACACCCAGCTGTGACCTGGGCTACCATGTAGCGGGAAACTTTGTTTTCGTGGAAAGTAAGGTGTTCCCTATGAAATGGCAGTTCACAGAAGAAATCCATTTTGGCATGGCCTTCATTTCAGGAAAGAAATTGGTGACTCTTCATTTCAAAATGTTGTTCTTACACTTTCTCATTTTCGTATTGTTTGTAGTGCTCATTATCTTCCGACATGTCAGTAGTGGTGCCTCTTGTATCTCCAGATCAGAGTGTCTCCAGGAAAGAAGAGATGTTTTCAGTCCATAGTAAGTAGCAGCAGCCCTTAATGAGTTGGAAACTGAAACGATAGAGCATTTATTTAACTGAGTTTGTATTGCATAACGTGTCAGTACAGATGTCATGAAATAACATTAAAGTGATCAAACATACAACATTTGAAGTAACATTTTTAAACTTTAGAATAAAAAAGAAATTAAATTTTTATGGTAGAATTTTTCTTGAACGAACAAAGTTTAACTTTGTTTTCCAGGGGAAACTTCACTGAAATCAGTATGATTTCATACGTATGCGTACACACAAATAGTTTTATTGAAACTGTTTTTGTGACGAATTCCTGTTTCGACAAAACAATATCTGACGAGACCTGTTATCAATCAACCAACATTACTGCACCTTTAAAAACTTTATTAAACTTTATCGGATTGCAAGGTCAGCCTGTTTCTTGGCATACTATCAGATGTAGGCTCAGTGGGACCAGAGGGAGATCCGCATCCCATGGGCTCAGGCCCTGCTCCATCTACTAAAGGAATCTGTTGCATACAACAGTTTTCTGCTAACCAAATGTTGTCTATACAGAATCATTTCAGTTTTGTATTGATGTGATTTTAAACTTTCCTACCGACAGGGTTTGTAACTGTAGAACTGGTATTTCAGGACTATGTAACTGTTGTTTGTGAGTGTGTGTATAATAGATGCACCCACCCACACCCACACATACACAAGCACGTGTGTGCGTGTATATATACAAATTAGTTACCCAGTGAGGTCTCTTTCCATGTTCTCTATGTGGTAGAAGCAGACTGCAGTTACCTAATGTAGTTCTTTCTCTGTTTGGGGACTCTTAGACCAGTTTTTAATTTTTTCCTTGTTTTGAAAGGAATGATGTTTTTTAAAGTTGGGGTTGGAGCTAGGGGGAAGGGATCGGGGCATGACAAAAGAAAAACCACAACCTTTTTAGTACTGGATTTTAAAAAGACGTGTTCTCAAACATGAGCAGTTACCACTAGGGCTAACTGTGGGCAGGCTCTGCATTGTTGAAGATAAATTTAGGGCGAGGATTCATTACACTAGCAGCATTATCTTGCTTGTAAAACAATGAGATGCATTTTTTTAAAGAAACGGTATTTGCATATCTTTTTAAATGTCATTTTTAAAAATAAATAAACCACCAGCTAGGATTTGACACAGGCCACTTAGAACTTACCCCTGATACTGGCATAACCAATCCAGAAAGATTTGTTGTTGTATTTTTGTTTTG